CAATTTATAGTCAGAAAAGTCAATGTATCCACGTGCCTTTTAGTGTGACTTATTCATTTCCTAATGCTTCACATAATTTGCCCCTGTTGCTATAGCCAAATCCTTCTCCCATGTGGTGTATTCCTCTCAGGCTGCCAACCCTTTTGGCACAACTGATCTGCAAAAGACTCTGCGAAAGGCTATCCCTTGGGTGAAAGGGGGGAAAACCCAGAAGAAATACCAAGTAAACTGAAAAGTCTCTCTAAAAGACTTTTACCCACGTCAAGGTGTCCACCCGCCTTAACCCCATTTGGCACACCAGGAATTACTGGAGGGGCATGTGTGTGTGCGTGTGTGTGGAATCCATCTGGAGCTGCCTGAGATAAGAGGCGTCCAGTGTTAAAAAACAGGCTTCCTCTATACCTCAGCATGGCCTTCCTTTTGTAAACAGTCTTCTTTTAATGTTGTAAAATGTTTTTTTCCATTTATCCAACAATAACGCCTATGGTGGTAGAAGAGGGAGAATGGAGGAGAAGCAGGGGAAATGGACAGCAGAGAAAAGGAGGGGGGAGGGAGTAATTAATATTTCCAAAGAAGTTCCTCATTTGCTTTGAAAAGAAAGAACTCACCTGCTTTCAGAAGTAAGAGGAAGAAGATAGATGAGAGAGAGAGAGAGAGAGAGAGAGAGAGAGAGAGAGAGAGAGAGAGAGAGAGAGAGATCCAACATTTCCAGTATTAGTGATTTATGTTCCTTTCTTATCTAAATTATTGCTGCCATTCTTTCATTAAAAGAACAGAATAACAGAGTTGGAAGGGACCTTGGAAGTCTTCTACTCTAACCCTCTGCTCAAGCCAACATACATCAGGATAATAAATGAAATAAACATTGTTGATTTTTTTCTGCAGCATTTAGGGAAATGAACATTTCATGTCTTACCATGACCACATGAAAGAAATGCAGCATCTAACTTAGGTTAATGAATGAATGAGATGCCCTTGAAGGTTACCTTTGTCCAAACAAAGGTCAGAGGACATCTTCAAAACAAAATATTGATTAAAGCAAGTTAAATGTTTTGACTGAAGAAAACATGAAGGATTTAAAAAAAAAAAAAGCCAAAATGAAGCTGCCCGGACAAGAAAGGGACAGGAAAAGTGGGGGGAGGTGGGAGGTGGCATTCATACCCAGACACAAAGGAAATGGTAGAAAACATATCTGAATCAGCTACTCATCTACTAACAAGCTGTAAAGATTTCCAATGACAAGTTGTCACATTAGTTTAGTGAAACTGAAGCAACACTTATCCCTTTTCCTGTGCTTAATCTCTCCCTGCGGTCCACAGAAACATGCTACTGCGTTTAATAGGATTAGGAGAGTTCACTTTCCCTTCTCATGAGCTCTTTCCTCTTTCCCACCCCCTTTCCTTTGACAAATCTATTTTCACCAGTGCAAGAGTCTGCTTTTTTCTAGACATTTCTCTCTTGAATCATCATTCTCAAGAAACACCCACCCACACACTCATACAACAGTAAGTTTCCTGAAGGAGATGGTAAAACATGTGGAGCGAATTATCATTGTTATTAACAGCTACAGGCCAGTTTATGCTGGTTGGGTTCTGCTCAGGCAGTGGAAGTTTCTCTTCCTCAGTTCCATCCTGCATCTCATAAATATCCCAGATCTGCTTTGGACCTTCTTAAGAAATCTGGAGTGTTTTGGGGAAACGGAAAGTCCAATTTGGATCTATCCTGCTGGCTAACAATTGGGTATCAATATATTTTTAACCTGGATGTTTTGTAATATGAATACTAAGGCTATTTATTATTTGTGCCAAACAATCCTTAAAATGTATTTTTGTGATGCTATCAATAAAAAGCTTCTTCGTATATTTTTAGTTATTAGTTGGTTACATTTCAGTGAGTTTATATATGACCAAAGTTTCACTTGATTTCCTATTTTGAAAGTGAGGCAGCTTTCACCTTATAAACAAAAAGGCACTGCTCATCTTTAAAGAAAACTCCTGTTTAAGCAATAGGATTAAATGAGTTATTGGCTAACTATTCATTTTTAACTGGTTTCATTTGCTGTTTAATGCAGTTCTTTCAGCTGAAATGTCCAGACCCCTGTTCAAGAACTGAAATTCGGTACAAGTTAAATTCTGGTTTTGACAAAATCTGAAGACAATATCTCCATGATCCTACCTATTCCCTCCGTCTCCTAGAAGTTCTTCCAGAAGCAGGAATTTGTCTCCCTCAAGATCAAAGACCCTGGAAATTAGACGTCTATATCTCTAGAGAGTCAACTCATGGAACCTGATGGGAGTGAGGATAGAGGTGAGGGTAGAAATAGAATGAGCATATTTGTTTTCACTCTCTTTTCTAGTTTAATGAATGTTGCCCCTAAATGTTTGGAAATGGCTAAGAAATATGTCAACATATTATAAGTGAAAGGAAGTTCATACAGCAGAACTTTCTTTTTGCAGATTCTCTTCTCTATATTCTTCTCTATTCTCTTTCCCAAAATTCCCTCTAGAGGGCTAAGGAGATTCACTAAAGTGAAAACTATATTCTGCTCATCTACAGAGGGGAGACAGCAATTGCTGAAAACTGGCTAGAAATTTTTTAACCAAATACACTTGGTAGTACAGCAAAAGTAAACGCAGACTTATAAACTGAAAGTTGGAGCAAAATGTACCTGTTCTGGTTATGGAATTAGTTTTAGAAATTATCTTGATTTAAACTACTGTTGCTGCTCAAACTCACAATTGGCTTTAAAGCTGAATCTTAGAAGGCTTATCATCCCCGAATGAATAATGAGCTCTAACATGGTTGCAGACTTTAATATTTTCACAATTCAAAGTAAAACTCATTATCACTCGCATATGTATGCCTTGAAATGCCACCATTTGGCATATGCCCAAAAGTCATGAAAAAAACATCATCTGCAGTTCTCTAGACGTTGAATAATTTTTTTGAACCCTTTTTTCCTTGATACCTCACCACCACTGAGAACATGCAAACATACATAGTGATACCAAGTATGCTCTCTTAATACAGGCACAAGTTCCACCATAAATTCTGCAGTTGTGTTTTATTTCTATGTCAGTCCAGTGCTGTAAACAAAGCATATGTGAGCTAGATAAAGGTATTATGATTTGAAGATGAAAAAAGATGAAAAAAGTCAATGTATTGCAAATATCCTGTTCCCATGTGCACAATGCAAAAATGTATAACAAAGGACAATGGATTTCTCTTGGTGTACAAATCTCTCTCCCTCTCCCTTGTCTAAAACTGAAGTGATTTTCTAGGTTCTGCCATTATTTGATTCTATATTTCACATCCATATTTTCAATAATGTTTCAAAAATAACTTCAAAAATATCTCCTTCTAGTTGACTTCGATTCTTGATGATTCAGTAGAAATATGCAGGTAATTTTCTCAGTAATAACATGGAGGTGATATCCCATTGCTTTCTTCCAGAATGTTCTTTTGTCTTCCAAGTGCAGCCTTCAGCTCTGAGATTCCCTAGTGGTTTCACATGCAATTACTCACATGTGTGTAACTTTTGGTTCCAGCAAAGATCTACTAATGATAGAGATTAAGGTTTTTTTTTCTTGTATGAGACACAACTGTAGCTGCATTTGGCTCAAACACAATTGGGCATAAGGCAATGAAAGTAATGAAAACTATTCCAAGTAACTTCAATATAGGCCAAAGTGTAACACTGTCACTTTGAGAGGAGGAGGAGGAGTTTGAAATGTATAAACTGGCCAGTTTCCTCTACTGTAATTCAACTTTCACTTTTTTTTCTTTCTTTCCACATCTTGTCATTGTACACATCGCCTTACATATGCACAATAACAGAAGTGCTCCACAGAATGGGCAAGGCCAAACCAGTCAGGCATTAGTGAATAAGTGTTGGGAAGGGAGTAACCAAAATTGCTTTTTTCCCATATTTAAAGCTGATATTTAATAAATAAATATCAGCTTTAAATATGGAAAAAAAGCAATTTTGGTTTATATGACACCTAGAGTTGCCTTTTAGAGTGAGATGGGTAGCACATAAATTTAATAAATAAATAAATATTTATCCCCGTATTTCTTCCATTTTTTTCTCTGCTTATTTTTTTATCTAGTTCAGTGGTGGCAAACCTATGGCATGCATGCCAGAGGCGGCACTTGGAGCCCTCTCTGTGGGCATGCACACTGTTGCCCCAGCCCCACCTCCCCCCATGGCCCCCTCCTTACCATCAGCCCCCCCGGAGGAGAGTCACCCCCGGGCACAGCCCGTATGGAGTAGTGCAGCCAAGGACATGGCAGCCAGGCAACAGGGACAAGACTAACCCTAACCCTTGCACCCTGTCATGCGCAGATGATGTTGTGGGATGCGGGCAGAGGGCGTGGCTGCCATGGTGCTGCAGGGCTGCCTGGGTGATCTGCGGTGGGCCATGGAGGCAGTGGGTGGCCCTGCAGGAGAGCCGGCAGGAGGCGAGCGGGGGCAGAGTAGGCAGGGTGGGAGGTGGAGTGGGGGTGGGTTGGGCACTCGGTCTCTAAAAGGTTCGCCATCACTGACCTAGTTGTTTCACTTTCTCCTATTCTTGAATAGTTAAATGGGCAATACTTCCTTTTACTTTCACCCCTTTTAAAAGCTACTATAATGGCTTCCACAACATTATAAGAAGCTTACTCAGCAGCTCATGGAAATCCCAATACCCCCAAAGAACTATACATTGTGTAGTAGCTTCTCTATTTTAAACATCCCTTTGTATATTATTCTTTCTTTTAGTTTGATTTTTGTGTAGGCGTCTTAATGTTTTTATTAATTGTTTCTAGTTCTGTTGTACACTTTCCAGATTTGCTTGTTTGTGAGATGTGCAACTATATGAATTGGTTTAATAATTACATAAATAAATAATATAAAATCTGTTCCCAGGAATATATAGAGTATTGAAGGAAAAAAAAGCATTAGAAGGAATGGTAAGGGAGCGTATCATATGAATTAGTCAGATGTCAAAATAATGGAATAAAATATTAAAATGGTTTATCTGTGTGATATAATGATTCATGAGATTGTAATGGTCCACTGTTTCCAAAGTGCTTCAAAGGTCCAGTGCATTTTGCATGATTGTGCAACTCGATGCTGTTTGGATTCCAAATTCTTTATCCAAGGTTATTGAAGACTCCTCCAGTTTGTGTGGCTGTACACTGTACATTTCTGTGCACCTTCCTACTTGTTTGAAAGAAGCAATTGGGGACAATAAGTCTGTAAAAAGTAGACATAGGCAGCTTATAGATAAACATATTTATTATCCCATAAGCTTTTGTAAATCGTAGCCCGTTTCATGCAATAGATTCATGAGAGTAGTAGCTTATAAACACATAGAGCTTCCCTTGGGAAGTATAGAGGGAAAGATGGAAGGTAAATGAAGAGGTGTGAAGCAGAGAAAATTACCTATAGTGTCCATAACAAAGCCGCAGATAGGCGTGACAAACACATTCCTGAATTAAATAGCTAATTATTACAGTTGTTTTCTGCTCGAAAATGAAGTGCCTAAGACCCAGTCTCTCTGCTATTCATTAATGCAGCCTGATTTTTTGTTCAGGCTTTAGTATAAACTAGAGAAAAAGATGAAAACTATAAAGTCACACTGAATTTAAGGGAGTAACAACTTCTTCTTTAGGTTCCTGCTAAAGCCTGAAAAAGTGAGTCTGCTTTAAGAGACGCTGTGCTCACCTTTATACAAAATCCAAAACAATGTTGTGAAATCTTTTTTGGAAGCATGTGCAACTGGGGGTAGCCTGTCCTTCTTTACATGCACCATGATGGGGATGGGCTTTTAATCACATGGATACAGACACCATCTTGAGTTGTTTTAACTCCCATGTGCATAAGCATAAGATACGAAAATGTGACTTCACATGCCATGTTGAGACTCCTGGTCCAAAACAATCAAGAATTAAAGGAATTGTTTAATTTACTTACCCTGAAAATAATCTAGAAGAACTCAGTAAGTCAATTAAAGGCTTATTCCACTCTGAATAATACTATATGAAGTTTATGTGTTTTTTAAAGACTTCTGAAAACTTGAAAGACATTTGACTTTAATGTCTAGAGTAGTTATACCTGGAATAGGTATATATCATGAAATAGGCTATGTAAAAATCATATTGTTACTCCTATGTTCTTAGCTGCCCATTTGCAAAGGTTTACTTACCTTTTATTAATGAGCTGATAGCATGCCATTTCTGAATATCCTCTTTCAAAAACAACTCATGAGCTGCAACTGGCAAGAAAACTCAGAGGCTTGGATTTGGGAAATATGCATTGGATTCATTCACATTTATATCGTGAATTGCTTCCTTATCTCCACTGTTGAAGCTGGATCCCTATAAAGACATCCAAAGTGTAATAGGACTACCAGAGGCTTTGTGAACCATTTGGCAATTCTAAGAACTACAAAGAGTGAGAGGAATGGTGTGATTGACAGACCTACCTTCTAATCAAAAAGAATGAGTCATCAGAAGCTCTTCAATCACAGTGCTTTGTGGGAAGGATGTTACAGTATCCTTTTTCTGAAAATATCATTTAATTCTATTCAAAAACAGCAAAAGTTTCTGGCACATTACTTTCTAGGTAGAATTAAAGAGCCTAGCTTGAAAACCTTTGTATCTACAGTATTTATCTGAGACTCAGCAGGCTTCATCTGCCTGCAAATTCCATTCCAATCTTTTAAAAAGTACCCCAAAAGCTTATAATAATTGTGGCTTTCTTATATTAGTCAGTACCTATAGCTCACTCCGGGCTTAAGTCCCAAACCTCTGATTCAATCTGAGTTAAAATACACGGATTGGGATGGTGGGTAAGGGGTACCTTTCATGTACCAATCACATTTGCATTAACATTTGTGGTTTGCAAACCTATCCTCTAGTTAACTCCTAGAGATTACAGTGCATGAACGTAACATACAGGTGTCAAAAGTGCAGAAGTGGTTTGCCACTGCATTCATCTGGAATGTTTTTCAACCCTGGTGTAGCCTGAAGGTCTGCCATACAAATACTAAGCTGATCTGACCCTTAGCTTAGCTTCCACAGCCAGAGAAAGTAATCTCACCTGCTGAGACCATTAGCCCATTTAAACTTAATTAATTAGCCTCTTCCTCTGTTTGAGAGGTTTGCTTTAATAAGGCAAAGAAAGAATGGATTCATCTTTCCCAAAACATCCCATTGCACCAAGGAATTCTCATTGCACCAAGACTAGATTTTACCTTATGCCGGTCCAAAACTAGACCAAACCAAGCCAAAATCTTTTGAAATGCTGTATTTGAAATTGCCTTAACATGTAAGACAGGATTCAGAATGCCAAAGCCTTACTCTCCCAATTCCACAGCAATAACTTTAATGTGGAAACTCCCTGTTCCTAATTCAGCTTTTTCATCTCTATCCCACATTGGTATTTATATAGATAATTATTGATGTAGGTGTTCATCTATCTAATTATTTAAGTTTAGAAGACAGTCCTTCACCTAAATTATGTGTTGAGGAAAGATGGGCAGATTCCAACAGGACATCAGTATTTTAACTTGCTCCCCAAAATTATTGTAATAATTAATTGAATAAAATATCTGCCACTGCAGCAATATCTACATGCCTCTATTTAGCAAAAACAGGGACAGGTTGGTCTAGTTGTTAAGGCATCAGGCTAGAAACCAGTTGTCAGGCACAACAGACCAGGACCACAATAAAGTTACAATTACAGTATACTGATTTATTACAATTCATGTCTATGCACAGGACTCTATTCAACTAATGGTTAGCAGTATTTTGGCTCTAGATAAGGATCAATGGAATTCAAGAGGGCTTGGACTTTGTTTGTGACTACATAGAGACTATAAGCTGATTCTATTTTTGATTGCACCCCAAGTTTTGCCAGTCCTTCTCTTACATCATGAGACCACAAATTCTAGTCCTGCCTTAGGCACAAAGCCAGCTGGGTGACCTTGGGCCAGTCACTTTCTCTCAGCCCTAAAGTGGAGCCATTGGCAAACCACTGAAAAATCTTGCCAAGAAAACTGCAGGGACCTTTCCAGGTAGTTTCCAAGAATCTGATATGATTGAATGGAAGAAGAAATATCTAACATGATACAGAAAAAATATTTGTCCAAAATGTAGAAAACAGTGCCAGTCACTGAGAATAAATATTGAAGACCTTTTCTCTGGAAACCTCTCTACAAATAATAACTTAATAGCTTGCTTTACAATGTTTAACTCAGTTCTGTTTCAGGAAACGAAGCATATTCTTTCCAACTCTAATAGCAAATCAACTCTATCTTCCCTGCTTGGTAAACTCAGGTAGACAAAGAAGAGAAGACAAGGGGATCAAACCCGATTAAAAAAAGGTTTCATGTTACCTATGCTATTAAATGCTGCAAATCAAATAAAAAATATTCCCACAGAGAACTTTCTTCCTTCAATTAGGATTTGGTGGTCATCCAAATTCCTGTTCTTTGAGCCCAGATTGACAATTATATTAAAGGCCGTCAGAAATAAAGCTTAAATATGTTTTATGCAGATACCTGAAAAAAAAGATCCAGTATCTATATTACTGTGTCTTCTTTCTCTTCTTTTTCAAGGCAGAAGTGAGATTTATACAGGGAGATCTCAATTTATGACCACAGTTGAACCCAAAATTTCTGTTGTTAAGTGAGACATTGTTAAATTAATTTTGCCCCATTTTAAGACCCTTCTTACCACAGTTGTTCAGTGAATCACTGCAGTTGTTAAGTTAGTAACAGGGTTCTCAAGTGACTCTGGCTTCCCCATTGACTTTGCTTGTCAGAAGGTCGCAAAAGGTGATCACGTGACCCTGGGACCCTGCAGCTATTATAAATATGAACCATTTGCCCAGCATCCAAATTTTGATCACATGACCACAGGGATGCTGCAATGGTTGTTAGTGTGAAAAATAGTCATAAGTCACTTTTTACAGTGATGTTGTAACTTTGAATAGTCACTAAATGAACTGTTGTAAGTCGAGGAGTACCTGTATCAGTAATACAGAAGACATATAGCAAGCAGAAAGAAAAAAAGGAAAATCATGTGTATACTGGAGAAGTGAATAAGCCTAGTTACTGCTGGATAGAGCAATTAATAGCTAGGAGAACTTTTCCCAACTTTGCACCATCCAGAAGGCCCCAAACTCGGAATACTAGGAGTTTATTATACTGGGTCTCCAGAAATTTTTGCAATGAAAATTTGCTTTGCTGTTTAAGGAAATAGAAATCAAGGTAGTGGTCTGTTTTCATCAGATAGAGAAAAGACAGAAAAGCAACATTTTCATATTAAATGTACCTTTTAGCCAATGCGACTTTTAGATTTCTGAAAAACACATGGCCCTTTTTCTGTTAAGGAATGAAAATTATTTTTGACTTTTCACACTTGCTGGGGTTCCCAAACCATTCTTCTCACTGCACCTTATCAGTTGCTGATCAGCCAGTTAAAGCATCATAATCATATATAGTTCATATGAATATGAACAGCAGGAACAAAAATTATGAATCCAAGACATGTTTGATTACAGAGAAACTTAGAGATAATAGGCACATGTAATACAATGGAAATGCTGTTAAGCATGTCTCCCATTCTTTCAGGCATAGGAGTGAACTGTGGTTGACATAGAACTTAATAATAATCCTAATACAGTATACAGTATCTGGAGGGAAAGCAGATTGGATAAAATGGGATAAAGGAGAGGATCTTCCTTTTAGTGTCAATTTCCAGCCCAGACCATGCTCTTGGATGAATGCTAGGGATCTTTCAGTTAAAAGATTGGACAGCAGGTGGTGAAAATGAGTCCAGGAAACCATTCTGGACTAGATGGCAAACAGACTGGCCTGTGATAAAGGGCATCTGCTTATTTTCCTCAAGATCTCCCCTCCCATGTGAGACTATTCTGTGATGAATTTACCAAAGCCCTCAGATTTTTTTTATATTACAATAACAGAACCAAAATGGCAGAGAGAGAAAGAAAGAAAGAGAGGGGGGGAGGGAAAGAAAGAAAGGAAAGAAAGGAAAGAAAAGAAAAAGAAAGAAAGAAAGAAAGAAAGAAAGAAAGAAAGAAAGAAAGAAAGAAAGAAAGAATGAATCGTGAGGGGACATTAAACCAAAAGAAAAGGGGTGGGGATTTATGCCTGAGAGCCTATTTGATTTAGTGGTTAAGGAACCAGACTAGAAAGAGGGAGACCTTGAGTTCTAGTCTAGCCTTAGCTGTGAAAGTCAGCTGGGTGACTTTGGGTCAGTCACTCTTTCTCAGCTTACCTTACAGGTTTGTTGTTGTGGGGAAAATAAGAGGAGGGAGATATGTTGGAGATGTTTGCCGTCTTGACTTATTTTTGAACATAATAAAGGCAGGATACAAACAAACAAACAAACCAACAAATAAATAAATAAATCTCATAGGATGCACAGTTCCTGGAGTAGGAATGTGGAAAACTAAGAGCTTTTTATTCAATGCTGAACCAAAACCAAAGTCATTTAGTTGACAATCATTAAGCAACAGAAATTGGTTTCAAGTCCAAAATGAAACTGAGGTGTTTGTACTCTTATCTCTATACAGCACAGTCTTACACCAAAATAGCAGTTATTCATTTTGTATCAATGTAAATGGAGGTACTTAAGAAAGGTAGGGTTCACTATTTCCAGTTGAAAATAAAATGGATCCAGGTACAAATGGGATGATATGAAAGGCTTATATTTCAGAAGTTTAAGTTTTTTAATAGGCTTGCTATAGTGAAAATCACTTCTACCCAATATTATATCCTTAAGGTTTATTGGGAGTACAATTCCCAGAATATATGCTAGTCATGCTGGCTTGGAATTCTGGGATTCATAGTCTTAACATTTTTAAAGGATATTGGGTTAAAAAAAACTGCTGTAGGCAATAATAGTTGAATATACCCATGAAATACTTTTCCCAAATATCTTTCCAAATTGCTGCCCTTTGCATTCAGTAAGTTTCCTGTAGGTTTATTTTACTGTGTTAACTCTCTTAGTCCAGGGAGTTAGTTACTGCCCTAGATTCCATTTCATGAAGTCATTTTAGGTCTTCTCATTATAAGTAATGAAGAGAGGTGGAAAATATTGGATTAGGAGTGGGAATATCCAGATTCATAACCACCCTCAACCATGAAAAGTCAGAAGATAACTTTGATCCAATCAGATCAAACCCAATCCACTTCACAGCTTTGTTATAGTTGTGGGGATAAAACCCCACAACTCACCACCACCACCCTCTTTATAAGCCTCCCAGGACAATCTCAAAGCATTCAAGATTTGTAATCATTTTCAAAATTATAACACAAGTCCTTCCTCCACGAATCAGACTGAATGATATACAAGATATGGATCCTATTGAGAAGATTTCAGGGAATTATATTGAATCCTGCAAATTCATATTCCCTAACAAACCAAAGATTCGAGGACTGTTGTTTTTATTTTCCTTTGGGTTGAAAGATTATATTCCAGTTTACTAGCCATTATTGCTTGCTATTCATTTCCTGGTGTTGTCTTTGGATTGTCTTTCCTCATTTTATATATTCATCAGTTTATTAGTATTTAGACAGCCCTCTGAAGCAGCACAAATAGAGATCACTGAGCACCCTTCGTGTCATATAAACAGTTGGCAATCCATCGTCCCTTTTAGGAAGCTTGCTAAAATTACTATTGTTGTTGTTATTTCAATTTCTCAAAAAACTGAAGCTGCTGAAACAGGAGCAGAAGGGAGAGGAATAAGGATGGGCCAAGTGCAGAACTCTTCAGAATACACGGTGTCCTTCTGGGATTCACTCTTTTCTCGGCTTGAGTGAAATGACTAGATTCTCTCTAAGCAACACCATCTCTCCATGTGGTTGCCACCATCTGTTAATGTCTTGATTTTTGGAAAGTTTGGTTGCTTGAGGCGAAGCCAGCCTTGGCTAGATCTCTGCTAGGAGCCAATTGCAAGTGGCTCTTTTATTGTCATGCTAAAAAATGTCCTGTTTCCCCTGCCCCCTCTCCCCAAGCAGTGGGCACAGAGATGGGAACTGGGTTCAAGTCCTTTGCCTAACAGAGAGCGTCTGGCTAATCTGGAATTTCACCCACCTCTTAAAATTCAACAGGTGCAGTTCTTCTAAATGCCACTCAGAACTGTCTTTGCAGCCAGTCTCCCTGCCCAGCTTGCATTATGGGCCTCTAAAGACAAGGAAACTGGCTTCGAATATAATCCAGAGGGAAGCATTTCCTAATACAGGGCTGCCTTTCTCCCGGCTCCGAGAGATGTGCTGCCATGGGGACAAGAGGGAAGTTATTTTACTTCACCTCATATTTCCTTCTTTGGTCTTAAATCTTAATCTATAATGTGGGGGTCAATGGATCGGAAACTAAATTCGTTTAGGCGGGAGAAGAGCGTCCTTCCTTGACGCTGTCCAAAACGAAGAGAGAAAAGATCTAAGGATAGCTTTGCCTGTGAAGGAGTGAAGATGGGTGAAACTAAAGCCGGCGTCGGCGCCCTGGGGAGGTGGGAAGGGGGTCCGAGAATAAACGAGTCCCGAGGAAAATAGTTGCGCAGAGCTGGACAATTGCTCGAAGCGCCTTAAGAAGACGCAAGGACCTTACAGGCAAGCGGGCTTTTAATTCTCCAGTGCCTCTTAGGTTAGGCCAGTGTTTCCCAAACTTGACAATTTTAAGGCATGAGGACTTCAACTCCCAGAATTCCACAGCCAGCAACGCTGGCTGTGGAATTCTGGGAGTTGAAGTCCTCATGCCTTAAAATTGTCAAGTTTGGGAAACACTGGGTTAGGCTGATGGGGAGGAATCGGCCGTTTGGAGAGCGAGAAAGTTTGAGCGCTCAGTTTCAAACGCCGCGGGCAACCTGCCTTTGTCTAGTTTCCCCCGGCATTTCTGACAGTGCTGAAGCCGTCGGTTAAACAAACCGCGCTCCTCGGCGGGGTCAGGAGGCAGCCCGGGGGACTCCCGCGAGGGAATTCCTCTCCGCAGCTGCTGATCGCTACGCGGAGCGCGGACTAGGGGGAGCGCGGAAAGCGGCCCAGCTCCTCCTCCGCCGTGGGGCTACTTGGAGGGGAGGGGAGGGGAGGGGGAGGGAGGCAGTTCCTGACAGGTCGCGCTTAGCCGGGCTGAAGCTTTCTCGGGGCTACCCGAAGGCCACCAAGGACAGTGGGAGCTGCCCCTGGAGTTTTAGTTTTGTCACTTGGCTAACCGTACTCGGGAGTCGGTCCCCCCCACCTAATAAACCGGAGAGGTGGAGATTTTGCGAGGGATAAATGAGCGGGATTTGCCACGTTGGGAAGGGCCGGCGTAAGGGCGGCAACCCTGTCGGCAAAGGGAAGGGGTTAAAGAGAAAGCAAAGGAAAAGCAGAAGTTGTCCGAAGAAGAACTTACAAAGTCCAACGCCTGCCCGCCTCCCTTTGCCTCTCCCCTCCCTTCCCTTCTTTTAAAATCGCCCTCTCAAGAGGTACTAATCTTTGGTTTCCTCTTTTATGAAAAGATAAGAAGGGGATCCGTTCCCAAGGGGACGGGGGGGGCTGCCCGACACCGAGGACTTCACGCCGCCTGACTCTTCTGCCTCACCTAACAGATTAGGAGACAGATGGGAGAAGCGCATCAGATATTCAGGAGGTTTTCTCTAGGGAAAAGGAAGCGGCGAAGAAAGGCCGGGGGGGGGGGGAGAGAGAGAGAGAGAGAGAGAGGGAGGGAGGGAGGGAGGGAGGGGAGGAGGAGGGAGGGAGGGAGGGAGGGAGAGAGGGAGAGAGGGAGGGAGAGAGAGAGAGAGAGAGAGAGAAGGAGGGAGGGAGGGAGGGAGGGAGAGAGAGAGAGAGAGAGACAGAGAGAGACAGAGAGACATTGAGAGAGAGAGAGAGAGAGACCTTCATATTACCCCGCAAAGGGCTCCTAAAGGCCGGTGAAATCCAGGCGCCGACTGTCGTCTAGGGCAGCAAACCATGAAAAGGGGGTAATAGTGGGGAAAATATTCTTTGGAAGGAGGGTCCGTAGCTTATCAGCCCCAAGGATGATACTCAGTCCTAGAGTCCAAGGCAGGAAGGAAGGGGCGTGGCCCCCTCTCAGGGACAGTCTGTCCCTTCCCCTCCCCTCCCCGTTTCCCTCTGCTCTGTAGTAACTGGAAGCCGAGCGAAAGGGCCAGATCGCCTCCGTCCTTCTCCCTCGAGGACGGGGCCTCCAAAAAGCTAGACGTACTTTTCCTTCTTCCCCGCGTTTCCCCGCGCGCGAAAGGCGCTGGCGCTTTCCACCAGACGACCCTGGCTTTTTTCCCGAGTGTGTGTGGGGGGGTCACTCTTTGCTGGCGTTCTCATGGATATGTTTGTTTGTTTTAAAGGTGTTCGAAGAAGATTTTTAGACGTTTCTTTTTAACACCGCCTTTCAATTCTTCTAATAAAATAAAATAAAGTGTGCTATCCTCTTCCGGCAGTTGGCTAGCTTTCTTAAAGTTGGGGGGCATCTGGGGTGGGAGGAAAAGAAGAGAAGAAAGGGAGTGAAGTTACAGTGGGGACTTGTGCAGAATTAATAATAATAGCCACCCTAATAGCGCAAAAAATACGGCATCGAGATATTAAAACACGAAGTTACATTTCAGACGTCGCAGACTGTTGAACGCGCCCTCCTCCTTTAAAAGTGCCATATTAAAGAAATCTAAACAATCTTTCTACCTCGCCATGATTTTACTTATTTATTTTTAATGGAGGCCCCAACTCACGCGGATGAAGTCAGAATTTTAAAGTCTATATTTGTAAATGTTTTACATAGGCATGTCTATATGGAGAAAAAAAAAGGAGTGTTTTTCTTGAATGAGTACCCAAATCTAATGAAGCATCGCGGTGCCCTTTACCTTTCTCCCAACGATTAAACCCCCTCTACTCTAATCTGGCACCTTCTGGACAGCCGATCTTCTCCTGTTCTTGAGGTTCCTCGTCTTGAATATATCTTCCTTCTTTTTTTTTCTTTTAAAGACAAATTGTAATGTTCTTTTTTTAAGAAGAAGGAAGTCACGAGTTAGTTGAAGAACACGGTTAACACGGTTCTAATAAAAGAGTGTGGTATGGCCAAACTTCATAAATTTGAACGCGTTGTAGGATTTTTTTTTTTTTTAAGAAAAGATTTGACTCCTCGATATTCCTGATATCTTGGGGAAAGATGCTGCTAATTTCCACCTTCCAATCATTTAAAACAGAAATTAAGGCTTTTGTTTGATGCCCTGCGGAAACCCACTGCTCTAAACTTTAGGTGGACGGGTTTGTTATTTCTTTACATTAAAGAACGCGCTTATAATAAACAGAAATAAAGCTGTAAGCAGGGGGAATTTAAGAGTGAACATGCCTTAAAAAGTAAAACTTGTTATGTGCGGGAACAACGTTGAAGGTAGGTGGAGAAGGTAGCGAATTTCTTTTTAAAGTTTTGAAGGGAGTTGTTTGTAAGGGCGACCAGAGTAAGATATAATAAAGGGTTGACATTATCTACACCCTCCAGAGTCTCCCGAATCTGAAGCTACGGGATCCAGGGCTACAAATAGGTGAGATAGACACAGGCAGGAAGAAAGGGCTTCTTTCTTCATTTCAAGATCCCATGATTTCAAGGGATCTTTTAAGGTTGATAAGGGGACAGTTTTCTTATGGCGAGGGTTACTGGCTGATCAGCCCCGCTGACCGCTGCCTGCGCGCGTCCCGAATATCTGGACTTCGCGCAGCGCCACCCTTCCTCTCAGCAGCCCTACCAAGACCGCGCCGTCCGATCCACCAGATTAGCGACACTCAAAAGGAAAAAAACAAAACCTTTAAACCAGATTTACTCAAGGGAGATGGCATTCCTGCCATCTTAAAACCTGAGTCCCGGCGTGGGGCAAGTCAGAGAAACCTTGAACGCACCCTCGCATAATTCAGCGGGCAATTTTCTGCCAGGCGAACGGGTTGCGCTCCAGAGCTGATCCTTTCACTCTTAACCGGCGGCGGCAGCCTGGAGCGCAAATTGTTGAAGACAGTGGCCCAGCGCTCATCTAAGACTTAAGAGATGAAGCCTCTTTGGAGTCAAGTTCGACTCCTGTTTGTTTCTGCGTAGGCAAGAGTTATGTGTATACACAAGAGAGAGAGAAAATCAGACGGACGGACGGACACACACACGCGAGCGAGCGCGTACACACACACACACACACACACACACACGATGCCTAGAAAGATCCCGCGGAGAGATGCTTCTCCCGTGTTTTAGGCCAGTTGGTTTTTGGGGGATGGGGGTTGGTGGTAGGTCGAGCTTTCACACACACACACCCCAACCAGGTGTTGGTGTACAGCAACTGAACCATCCGGCAAAGTTGAACTCCGAACTGGGCACAAATAGCTGCTCGGATCATCTTCCCCCAAATTTGGCGATAAAGTTTCCTTCCCATCAGCAAATTGGGGGGGGGGGCAGGCGGTGAGGGGTGGAGAAAGGGATAGGGGAAATGCAAAGAGGGGGGGGGACAGAGATTCTGTTTCTCCTCCTCCTCCTCCTCCTCCTCCTCTCTCCCTCTCTTTATCTTTCTCTCTCCCTCTCTCTCTCTCTCTTCCTCCCCCCCTACTCCTCCCAAGTTCTGCGCTCGCTATCCCCCTTGAATCCGAAGGAGCTTCCCGATTGGGCGCTGGGCCTAGGCACGTCACTCAGACCGTGACGTGTAGTCTTCCTGTTTCCTTCAGCTGTGTCTTAAAGTAAATCTTGTTGTGGTGCGGAGCCCTCAGCTCAGCGAGGCTGCTCCGCTGCTTGCAGAAAGAAAAGACAATTACAGCCGGGGAGAGAAGAACGCCGCAGAAGAGCTGGTTCTCCTCCCCTCTCCTCTTTCTCACTCTCTCTGTCTCTCGTACCCTTTCTCTCCCACTCATTACCCCCCCCCCCTCACACGCGGGCACTCTTGCTTTCACCCTCCCTTGTCCAGTTGCAATATTCATCAGCAGCCAGATTATCAAGGCGATCTGAGCATTTGTATGAGCGCGTTTTTCTCTCTTTCTTTTCTCTCTCTCTCTCTAACCAGCAGGGGTGGGGGGGGAAAGAGAGAGAGGGGGACTCAGTTTCTTCGCCTTTGGAACTGAGTAAGTACCTTTTTCTCCCTTCCCTTCTCTTGCTTTCTTTTGGGGGGGGGAGAAAGGGAGGGGGAAGGGGTATTCTTGACACGGAGACGGGCTTGTTTGAAATGCTGCTTGGGGGGGGGATCAGGTTTTTTTTTCCTTTTCTTCTTTGGGTGCCCCCCCCTGCTTCTCTCTCCTCATTTCCTTTCCCCGGTTTCTCCCTTCTGCTGAGTTTGTGACTGGAGTAAGATTGTTAGACTAAAAAAAAAATAAGCCGGCAGATGGTCCATATTCCGAGGCTTCATGGGAACCATCACAATAGTTTGGTCGGTGTGAAAGGACGAGGTTGGTGCGAAAAATGTCTTCTCGACCCTCCCCTGAGACTGCCTTTCTTCTTTCTTTTCTCTTCTCCCCAGCCTTTATCGATTCTTTGTATTATTATAGTTTAAATGGTGAGAAAATAGCTTAGTTGTGTGTGAAGTCCTGCGGTTTCTTTCCTGTTTTTCCTACCTCTCCTCTTCTCCACCCCCCACCCCCCCACCCCGAAATCGGTCCTTTCTTAACTCCCCAAGTCCGGCCTTTCTTCTTCGCATTGTGTCGCTGCCTTTCTTTTTCTTTTTGTCTTCTCCGATTTGCTTATTATTTGCATGTCCCTGACTACTCCTCCGCCTCCGCTCTCTCTCTCTCTCTCTCTCTCTCTCTCTCTCTCTCTCTCTCTCTCTCTCTCTCTCTCTCTCTCTCTCTCTCTCTCTCTCTCTCTCTCTCCCCTCCCCACCCCCATGGAGAGCAGTTTAGAAAGCACGCGCACCAGATAAAGCAGGCATATTTGAACATTCTCTCTTTTTGATCTACCCAAGGGCTAGGACAAGAGTTGCGGAAAGAAGCTGTTTAGGAGGAATGGGTGACGGGACGCATAGGAAGTTTTGAGGCCAGGTTGTTAGGTTTCTATGGAAGCACCTTTTGCCTGAACCCGTAGAGATTTTATTCTGGATCCAATAAATATGTATGTGATGGGCGGGGGTGTGTGCAGTGGGGGACACGAGGAGAGATTGGGGCTGCTTTATCCCAACGAAGGCTGCTGAGGGGTGTGCTGTATCCCCACTAACAGAACTGTTTGCGATTTGCGGAGCGGCTATCCGGCTTGCCCCGCTTTGCCCTGTCTGCTGGCGATGCGCGCTTTGTCGTGGATCCAGAGTGAGGCCAGGCTTAAAATGAGCCGCGCAGTCTTCGGTGGGGTTTACCTGAGTCCCGACTCCCTGTTGACGCCAATGAGCCTACTCGTCGGGCTTCTTCTGATTTTTTAAAAAGACTTAATACCGAACGGGAGGGGTCACCTCGGAGTCTCTCGATTTATAGCCAGCTCCTTCCAGAGTTGTGCCATTGACCTGAAGCGAGGTGCTGCAGACTTAGCAGGAGAGAGCAGACGTCTGCGCGCATTCTAATGCTGCATTTAGATGAAAAGGGATCCTTGCCACACGAGAAGCCTAGGTTCCACCTCTCCCCCCCCTCCAAAAGCTTTAGATTAACTTGTGGGATTATGTCCACACCGTGCACAAACTCAATACGACAAAGATAGACCCTCCCTCCCTCCCTCCCTCCCTCTCTCCACAAACCCTCCCGCCTTTCCAGAGACGACCTTTCTTCCCAGCTCTGGTGCCCACGGGAGAGTTGCCCTCAGTCTCTCTCTCTCTCTCTGTGCGCGCACTAACTTTCAGCGCGCAGTGCAAAAGTTGCTAGCCAAAGTACCGGCTAGAATGGAAAGCTTGCCTCTTCTAAGGAACTTCGGCGGGCGGGCGAAGCGTGTTTCAGGAGAAGGGAGAGGGAAAGAGGCGAGAGAGAACCGGTTGTAAAACGGCGGGGGAACATCGGTTTGGGGCTATAAAGCTGTTGTAACAACCCCCGGTGGCCTCTTCTAACAAGGGCGGACGGGAGAAGCGAGGGAACTGTTCGTGCGCTTCTCTCTGGCTCCGCCTGACAAAGCTCCAGCATTGATATTGTACAAGGGGCGCTCAGCTCTAAGTGCGCATGGGCAGTGTCGGACAGGTGTGTTGTGTCAAGAAAGACAGGTGCAAGTTTCCCTCTGCTGAGCCTGAGTACAACGTCTGTTTATGAATTTATGGCGCTTTGTTTGGAGATGGTTCGGGCTAAGGAAGGACGGAAACTCAGAGCTCTTTTGTTAGCTGGATTCTTGAGGGCTGCAAAGCAGGTTGTTTTCACTGTGGATTTCCAAAAGAGCAGAGAAAAAAAGATTTTTTTAAAAAAAAAAAAACCTGGCTCCTTTTGCGCTGGGTGGTGTGTAAGGCAGTGAAAATGGGGGAGGTAAATAGCTGGGTCGCTGTTCTGCCTTCTTATCTGCCTATTTTACTGGCAGTTTCCTAAAATCATTTGCTGTGGTAATTGGAGCATTGTTCTTGTACGTTTATTTGGAGCAAACGGCACTGAATTTCATTTGTAAGTTAGTGTACCCCTTGTTTTAAATGAAACATTTTCCCAGGCTAAGTAGGATTTACTTTGCAGAGTAAGGCACCCACCTAGCCCCAGTTGAGATTATTTAGCATCCCAAACCCTATTCACCTTTACTCAGAAACTAAGCCCTTCAAAATTCTATGGGGCCTATTCGAAGAATGCATTATGTGTATGCTTCTTTGAGGGAAGAATTTCCACTGAATGGGCTGGAGGTTATTTCTGTATATATTTAAGACTGGGCCTTATGTCTTAATCCAGATGAAAAACAGTAGGTATGATACAAGGAACCTAGGCAAGTTTTGACACATTTGACACAAGAATATGTCAAAGCACTGTCGCGGCACAAACACAACGTGTGATATATTTTTGTGTAATGGATGAGAAATTGTGAACAAGCACTATTAAAGGTGACATTCTCATCTATCAAAGATAAAATGCTGGTTTTCTTTTTCTGTCTTTTTTTTTTTTTAAATCCTCCCCTTCATCTCCAGTGCATGCCTCTGAATTTTCAAGTCTCTAGTCTGCACTGGAATCTGCATGCTTAGAGGTGACAGTCTATATGCAGACATATGTGAACCTGTCATTTCCTTAATTTAATGCCATCTGCTAGGTTAGTGCGGATATGAGAAACACACATATCTACTACCAGATTTTCATTTATTTATTAAAAATGGGAAGCATTGTTTTTAATACGTCTTTCCATTGTTTTAGCAGGCTTAATAAGTTTTAATATTCATCTAGTCTGTAAGTGAACTTGCATGTGGCCTTATATTCTTTGTTTCTTGGCTTGTTCTTCGCTAACTCTGCCCATCGAGCATTTTGTAAGTGGCTCCCATAAGGCCTCTTCTATCCCTCATTTCATTACTTTCCATTCTGAAACTTAGTTTTTCCAGATAAAAAGTATTAAGTATGTGACATCTCATATTTAAAAGAGATAAGCTTTTAAAAAAAGCCATACAATCGATATTAACATTAGATATTACCTATACAACCTATTTAACATTATTGTTTAATATAGGTAACTTTCTGCACTTTCATATGGGAAAGAGAATGCTCTGTTACCATTGCAAATTGCTTTCTTGATCAGTTCACAATTAAATTGGCATCTTTCGGGTGGCTGGGTCTTGATACTGAGGATTTCTGTAGCACATTTCAGTGTTCAAAATGTTTGGTCGTGGATTACTTGACTGTGTTCCATTGCATGCTAGAGTAATTTCTCAAGTATGTGCTATGGATGTGTTGATTCAGTCTTCTGATTGGATGTCCCATAACCTTAGGGAGGAGGGGAAAAGTGTAGGATGACCTTAGGGTAGGAATAATGTATTAGCAGTTTAATATAGTTGTTGACTTTGGTAGTAAATGTCTTTTTAATGTTACATTATAACATTGGATTGCTAGAAAAATATTATTTTATATATTTCTGGTACCAATTGGGTAAACAGTGGATGCATTTATCCAGGAGATTTTTTTCCCCCAATGCATTCCAAAGCCAATAAGATAGAACTCATTGTAGTCATCAAGGCACTACATACCTATGCAGGAGGGACAGAATGCAAAATATCTCATAGCAGCTTTTTAATACCTTGTCATATTGGTCTCATGTGCCAGTGATGCTAAACAGTTGTCTAATTTCTTTGTTTTTTAAAAAAATTATAAAGATTTTTGTGTTACAACATTTACATTTTTATATAATGACATAATTTAATTTTTTTTTTTAAAAAAAAAATCAGTGGTAGAAAAATGGACTTTACTTCTAAATTCCTTCACAATGCTTCATAAGGCTATTTAATTTGATGGTTAGTGAAGCTATGCAAATTTTACGTATCCATGCCTTGCACTTCTCTGAAGTGCATCAAAAATATTTTATACTTCCAAGTAAGTCAGTGCAATGCAAAGGACTTAAGTTTTACTATTGATATGGATTGTTGACATCATTTAATGTATTTCATCAATCTTGCTGGGTGAAATACCTTGTTTAATTAAAAAAAATTCAATCATATATATATATAGATAGATAGATAGATAGATAGATATATTAAGAATTTGAGGGTATCATTGAATTTCTTTACTTGTACAGTAATTTCTTTACTGTACAGTCCTGTGTACAATGAAGGAGAAAGAGTAGCTGCATTCTATGAGAACTAACAATTTAAAAATTTGCAGTTTTGCTTTGAAAAGTTCATTGCTGTTTTTCACAATCAGCAGTTTATATCAATTTGGACTTTAAAAATGTATTAGAAATTCTACTCTTCCTATAAAAAAGTACTTTTTCCCCCCAGAGAATTTTTTTTTTCAATTTCCATTCTACCTGTTTTAGGTTATATTTTATTTTAAATCAATCTACATTGTACCAGTGGAAAAGCAGTTTAGCAAAAATTCATAATATACAGTATAATTGCTTTACAGTAGTATCACCTAAAACATTATAACCCATGTGTGCTACGTATTTAAGATAGGGAGGACTAATGACTGAAATGCCTTCTTAAACAGAATGTTTGTACTTGTGAGCAATGGATATTTTTGTATTATCACAAATATATGATAATATTTGCTACTCATATCTTTTGCAATGTGTATGTGTGGTGGGGTGGGGTGGACTCTGAGTTCAGTGGAATAGAGAAGAAGGTTGATTTCAGAAGTACAAGACGTTATCCAAGTTTAGAGAATTTTTTCCCCCTACTACATTGTGTAGTTATCAGAAGCTGTAAAAACAAGCTATTTCTCTCATACCACTCAGCACCTTTGAAAAACTGAGTCCTTGTGAAGTCCTATGTAAGTTGAAGGCTCAAATAACGAAAGCTTGGCAAAGAGGGACTTGTCAAGAATAACTTAAACCGTACAAACTCAAACCAGTAAACTAATCAATGATATTTATGTGAACCATAATGAAAGCTAAAATTTAAATGACTTCTGAATTACCTCTGAACAAGAAATAAATCAAGCTGAGCAGCTTTGGTTTCCTCTAAATTGGACAGAAGCATACTCTCTAATTCAATGACCAGTTTACCCTTCCTCATGTGTATTTTTTCACATATCTAGTGGGAAAATCTTACCACGATCCTATCCAAAGATCTGATTCTTGATGACTCAGGATTTTAGATTTTTCTGCAGCATTGTTTCCCTCAGAATGGTTATGCATGCTGGCACTTTTCAAATCCAGAGGCTGGTCCAGGGGGCATTTTTCAGCCCCAGTATAAACATAACGTAAAATAATTATTTAAGTTCAGAAAGCAAAATATAAAGTTTGTCTTATGAGAAGATAGCATGAGCGTCTGCAGGTATAAAGGAAACATGAGGAAAGTAGAGGACCAACTATAACGGGTTTATTTATAAGCAATACTACTTGTTGTCTCCAGTGATAGTCTGGCCTTCTCTTCTGGTAGCTCTACTGTAAGTGAAGATGTAGAAGAAAAATGAATTCTTTGGATAATAGATCCATAGCATTGACCTTATGACTTTTCTCAATTTGACATTTTATGAGCTTTGCAGACATCTTATGCCTCATTTTACCTTTAAATGAAATATAATAAAAGAAGAAAGAAATTAGGTAGGAACGAACAACTTTTAAAGCATATTGGGAATACTGTGTTATATATCAGAGATCAGTTGAAACCTAAAGTTAAAATTTGTATTGCTCTTGCTTTTCCTTTTTGCGAATGTCTTTACGTCTCTTCTAAAATGATGCACAACAACAAGCAACCTCTTTGAGATTTAGAGTGATGAGGGATTTTGAAAGTAGAGGCAGACCTCTGAAGGTATTTACATCAGCATATAATGACAGGCTACAAATCTTGTCCAAGTACGGGACTTTCACCCCTGTGTGGGTTTTTTTGCCTTTTATTTATGGGCAAGCTTATTTAGTTGTAATTAACCTAGAAGCCAAAAAAATGACTTTCTGTTGTGAAGTGGAATGTTTCCATTAAATTAAATGAAACAGCGCATATCTGAAAATACACCGATACTTGTTTATACACAAAGGATCTGAACTAGATCCATAATCATACGAAATAAACAGAGAGAAGAAAAGGCCACTGCCACCTAGTACTGAAATTCCTTTTATCTCACAGGGAATTGGAATCATTTAATTTCTGACATAATTCCATGTAAAACATGACACAATAAGGTATCTTTTTAATTATTCTAATTATTAAATATCTGATTCTTAGGTCTTTATGTAAATTCATTTCTTTTAGATAATCTGGGACTGAATATTTTTATCTCAATGGAGACAATATATGAGGAAAGACAGTTGCTTTGAAAAGGAAACTGAATTTAAACTAAGATGCCAATCAGATATGTTTGATGCAAAGTTACATTTGCTATCGCAAAATTCTGTATATGTGTTTGTGTTTCTTAGTACCAGTTCTGAGTAAAACTATTAACGACTGGTATAGTCTCCTTAGGAATACACTGCAAAAAATTATAAAAATGCAGTTGAATATTCCAAAATTTACATAGCATTTCTTAAGAATTATTTTATAACGTCCAAAATAATTGAATGAATGCATAGCCTTTGAATGATAAACAAACAAATATAGGTTTCGTTCTAAAAGTTTCCGTAAGGCTTTATTTTATTTTATCTTTTTACTACTACACTTACAAGCCTTGGTTATACACGCTGATAGTGTAGATTATTTCAAGCTGAAATTATGCTTATTTGCATGGGTAGTCATTCTTTAAAAGCTAGCTACAGATGCAATCCTAGGGAGCACGTAGACGTTTTTACAGGTGAACCGAAACAGATGGGAACAGATCCAAAAGTCTGAATGCTGCCTTTGGCAAGATACCCTATTATTGTGGAAACTCTGCACTATTAAGCTAATGTGGAGTTTAATATTAGATCAACATAGTATGGGAAAAATTAATATTACATTGGTATAGTTTTCAACATGAAGGTACCGGAAGACGTCTGTAATGCTTCATATGCCATGTGAGTTTCGCATCATGGTTAATAAGTCATGAATGATGTCAAGAGCCTATTATAAAATGCAAGGAAATGTGTTATCAGTCTTCTTTTTTCACTTCTTTATTCCTGGGAAACAATGATGGTTCCTATGAAAGAAAAGATATCTGCCTTTCTCACGCTGTTGCTTGATGTTGCTTTCTTTCATCTCTCCATTTCTTTCCTTCAGAATTTCTCTCTCTCTCTCTCTCTCTCTCTCTCTCTCTCTCTCTCTCTCTCCATGTGTGTGTGTGTGTGTGTGTGTGTGTGTGTGTGTTTTGCAGAAAATATGGTTTTATTCAAGTACAATATTAGATGAAATAATTATTTCAAAAATTATTTTAATAATCACCTGAGATATTATCTTTGGAAGCTGATGTAACCCACTGCTAAGAATGCCTTGTTTCTACTTCATGCAAAGAACTTGATGCCACATATCATAGTTTATGAAATGGGGAAATATCTCAGGGATGATCAAATGTGTCCTCCCCATCTTATCCTTTTCTGAAATGTTTAAAATGACACTATGGGAATAATATTGTATGTTTTCGAAACTCATTTTTTACTGCAAAATGCAGTATCACATGTATTTTATAACCAAAATGTAATTTCTTCCTTAAATAGTTCCCATAATGATTTCTAAGGTTTGTATCATCCTATTTAACATGCCTGTCTATAGGTGTGTACACTGCACCTGTTCATACTTACATATATATTGGAACAACCTTTAAAAAAATTAAAGAAAATTTCTAGTTTTAATCTCAAATCTGTTTTGCAACTAAATTTGATTTTTTAGCCCAAATTATATATGATTGCCTTGCCTAAGAACAAGACTTACTTTCATTTTCTTTGGGACATTATTTCAAACCCTAAATTTAATCAATTGGTTGTCAGTGTCTGTGTTCTTCTAATCTACTGTTTAGTTTTTTTCTAAAGATAAACAGTATTATTTTAGGCATTTGTGCAAAGAACCATATATTACTGGTGCTTAAGCAGTTTTTCCTCTCCCCCCCCCTTTTTTTTAAAAAAAAATCTTAATCCATCTTAAACCAGTGGAGCAGAAATATTTAAAGTGTTTCATTTCAAGCAGAGTGCATAATAAATTGCAATAATTGTAATGTGCCATAAATCCCAGAGCCTATGCATTTTGCATTTGATTCAGGATTGAGGTCAGGAAATTTGGAGAAATTTAAAGAAAATGATTCATCAGTCCTTTTGTTCTGTTGGCCAGGGTCCCAGGATTCTTGAGCTGTGCCCAGCTGACAAGCTTTTGAAGATGGCACAATAACTGTTCAGTGATGCCTGACCATGACAGCACAGCCCTCTTAAGTAGGCAGACCAAGAGAAGAAGAGTTGACATTGGAGTGAAACGGACGGTAGGGACAGCATCTGCCTTTTTTGCAAAGGCGAGAGCATCATTTTTTAGTGCCATGAATCCCCAAGGTTCTGAGCAGGATGTTGAGTATTCAGTGGTGCAGCATGCAGATGGGGAGAAGTCAAATGTGCTTCGCAAGCTGCTGAAGAGGGCAAACTCCTATGAAGATGCCATGATGCCTTTTCCAGGAGCAACTATAATTTCCCAGCTGTTGAAAAATAACATGAACAAAAATGGTGGCACTGAGCCCAGCTTTCAAGCGAGTGGCCTCTCCAGCACAGGCTCAGAAGTACATCAGGAGGATGTGTGCAGCAACTCTTCAAGAGACAGCCCCCAAGAGTGTCTTTCTCCATTTGGCAGACCCACGATGAGCCAGTTTGATATGGATCGGTTATGCGATGAGCACCTGAGAGCTAAGCGTGCCCGGGTTGAGAATATCATTCGAGGGATGAGCCATTCCCCAAGTGTGGCATTAAGGGGCAATGAAAATGAAAGAGAGATGGCTCCGCAGTCTGTGAGTCCCCGAGAAAGTTACCGAGAAAATAAGCGCAAGCAAAAGCTGCCTCAACAGCAGCAACAGAGTTTCCAGCAGCTGGTTTCAGCTAGGAAAGAACAGAAGCGAGAGGAGCGCAGACAGCTGAAACAGCAGCTGGAGGACATGCAGAAACAGCTGCGCCAGCTTCAGGAAAAGTTCTACCAAATCTATGACAGCACAGATTCTGAAAATGACGAAGATGCTGGTAACCTCTCTGAAGACAGCCTGCATTCAGAAACACTGGATGTCAGGGCGAGAGATTCTGTGGGGAGGTCGGATAATGAAATGTGTGAATTGGACCCGGGGCAATTTATTGATCGTGCAAGAGCTCTGATTAGAGAACAGGAGATAGTGGAAAACAAACCCAGAAAAGATGGCCCCAGAGAAAAAGATCATGGGCCCAACTCTTTTCATCCAGAAGGCAAGCACTTAGCTGAGACGCTAAAGCAGGAACTGAACACTGCCATGTCTCAGGTTGTGGACACTGTAGTTAAGATTTTCTCTTCTAAGCCTGTACGTCAACTTCCTCAGGTCTTCCCACCTCTTCAGATCCCCCAAGCAAGATTTGCTGTCAATGGAGAGAACCACAACTTCCACACAGCAAACCAGCGCCTCCAGTGCTTTGGAGACATCATCATTCCAAACCCACTAGATACCTTTGGGAATGTGCCACTGTCTAATTCCACAGACCAAACAGAAGCACTGCCCTTAGTTGTCCGCAAAAATTCATCAGACCAGCCTGCCTCTGTCCCGCCTCCTGGCAGCCACCATGCTGCTCTCCATCAGTCTCCACTGTCTGCCACCACAGGGTTCACTTCATCTTCATTTCGCCATCCCTTTCCTCTGCCCCTTATGGCGTACCCATTTCAGAACCCCTTAGGGGCTCCTTCTGCCTCCTTCCCTGGGAAAGACAGAGCCTCCCCAGAATCCTTAGATTTAACAAGAGAGACCACAAGTCTGAGGACCAAGATGTCATCACATCATATGAACCATCACCCTTGTTCACCAGCACATCCTCCTAGCACTGCTGAAAGCCTCTCAATATCTCTCATCAAGTCTGAATGTGGTGACCTTCAAGATATTTCTGAAATCTCACCTTATTCTGGGAGTGCCATATCCTTTACAATACATAGCACATATTCTGCATGTTGATATGTGTTTATTTGGTAATGGGTACTAATAACTACTAATGTTAGGAGTGCAATATGTGGGCATAACATCCATTGTTCTTAACCTGTTATTTTCGATTAGAATTCCCATTTTGTAGCAAATGAAGATGCTTACTGCTGAATCCCATCCATTTGTCTTCTGGTACAGTTTCTGAAGATAATCTTTTCTATGATGCTTGACTTTAATCTTGATAAAGTGGTTGACAAAATTCCAATGTGAGGCAGAATAACCTTGGCTTTTAAGAAGCAGGAAGCAGGAAAAATAACATATTAAACAAAACTATAGCCATAAAACAGGAGAAATTTATGGAAAGGAAATATTCATCCCCATAAAATTTTGTTCTATTAACATGTATGTTTCATACGATTTGCTAAGAAAGCAAATTTGGGAGCTGCCTGAGAGACATTTTGGCCCTGAGTTTTGAGTTGCAATATCCCTGATTCCTTTTGTTCTAATTACATCCTAATCTATTGAACCTATTGGCTACCAAAGATTAATTAACCTGTACAGAACGTCATGAAACTCATCCTGCCTGAAGGCAAAATATCAATCCAAATAAACTGAATCTCTTGGTACTCTTGGTAAGTGCTTCAGCTACTTGTATAAATTGTCCCATAGTGTAAAACCTGTATTTACAAACATTGCCATATAATTTTAAATAACCCCGGTGCTAATTTAGTGGTCTCCCCAAACCTATAGATAATTTTCTATAATATTATATTAAGGGGTCAAGGCTTGCTAATACTGTATTGTAACTTTTTGTTTTTCTTTTTTAAAAAAGCAACACTGCTTTCCATTAATGCAGCTTTGTAAACTCTTCTTTTTTCCCTCACTACCATTAATATAGTAGTGATAAAATTAGTTGTAGTGCTCTGAAATAATTTCCCAAATTCTGGTGGCCATCTGCAGATATGATCTTTATCAGATTTTCCCTTACAATATTTCGATTGTTCCCCTTGAAATCTATAAGTCTTACTTCAGAGTAGACATTCACCTAATTTCATGGGTAAATAAAGATTTTTTGAAAAGGAAATCTTTCAAGCTGAAAGAAATATTTCAACGTATTGATTGCTATGCCCCACACAAATGCTTCAAAACCTGAAAAGATTTTTGGCAGTTTGGGTGGTAATGGTGAATGGGAGGCAAACTTATTTCAGGTGATATTCAAAATCCAATATGTAATCTTCATTATATTTTTTTAAAAAACAATCTCACTGTGTCTGAATATAAGGCCAATATTTCCTCTCTCCAAATAAATGAGTGAAGCATTTGAAAATCTTGTATACATTTTTCAGGTGGATATAAAAAAGTGACACCAAACAAAATAAAGATATAAGTATTGATGCATTGAAGCTATATCAAATCCTTTTCCCTGTCCACCCCCCTACCCCTCCCCACCACCAAGTCCTGTTCTCAGCTCTTGTGCAGCTGCTGGGTATGCATGGTTAACCTCTGCTCAGCCATACACAGAAAATCTTTTGTCCTAATATACAAAAAGCAAATCATTTGGCAAAGCTTGAGAGCACAATTAGATATAGAACTTCAGCTGGATTAATCTTATAAGGCACATCTTTTTCTTTTCCCCATCCTTAAAATTGTCCTCAATTGTGAAAGCTTTAAATAATATTTTATAAAAAGAACCCTGTGCGTACTATGATTCTTTTATCACAAGGATGCTAAAAGAGGCACATAAGTGATACTGTATCATTGGCATTTCTTCATGTTCAATTGGAAGGAATTCTCTGCCATTCAAAGGGACATACTTCTAAGAAATATGTTCAGGATTGGGAAACATCCCCCCATATTTTAGCTTACTGCTATCTATGCATCCAACTCACTTCCCAATATAGTCAGCTATGCTAGTTAAATCTGATCATTCTATAGAAAGTCATAATATAGACTCAAGAAGTCTTGACATAAAGGCAAACTTCATCAACTTGAGATTACAACTGAGAGAGAATTAAATACAGTGGCTAGTTTCAATAAACTGGAAAGGAAGCCATTATTAAATGAAGATGTAACTTCATTATAAAGGAATATTAACAGTACTGATACACTACTTAAGAACATAGTGACATCTGATGAATCAAGAGTTTAGGCACTTTTCTCATAATAAAAAGAATATTTAACAAAGCATGGATTGATTCACAGAATGTATTGTGTTTCATAAAGTATCACTAGATTGATCTGGGATTCAAAGATAACTATCCTTGACTCTAATTAACAGGGAATACCAAAGTATATAATAGATAGACTAAGTAGGCAAAAAAAAATCATTCTGGTTTAAAATAAAACAAAACAAAAATTATCCTATGCAATTCAAAGTGTTTTCCTTTATACATTATTTTAAGGTGTTCTTATAATTCCCACTGGAAAATGTGATCTATGGCACCTCTAATCATTAACACATTGATCAAGATTTAACTTGGAATGGCAAGAAATATTATCCTTTAATGCCACTTCTAAAGGCTGTTCTTTGGAGATTCAAAAATTTAATAGATGTCTTGCAGATTGCAGAAGTTAGATTAGCAATCTTAATGGTAGTGAAGAAAATTAAAAAAGAAAACCAAACCACTTTCTTATATAGAAGAATTAGATTCTGAAATGTAATCCTCAGACATATTAACAGAGTAAAAGTAACTACATATTTAACCCAAGACCTATAGTTTAGAGTGCTTACAGCAGTAATGGACTTAATCACTTGTCAGATCTGCTTTATTTTTTACTAACATTTGAGATCTAAATAAAGGTACCAAAAATGTACATTAAGAATAAAAGAGCAGAGTGTTCCCTGAACATGTCTGAAATCTAAAAAAAAATGTTTTCATAACTAGTATTATATTAAAAACACAGATATCATAAAGTCTTTTCTTGATTATCCTGCTTTCTTCATTTGACTTCAGGTGGGAAGATATTTCATTTGCTGTTGTTAAAAGAACTGGGATACAGAGCCTTATGCGTCTCTACTATTAATCAGAAGCCTTCCTATAGATCATGATCTATAGTTCTGTGAGGAAGCATTCTCACTCATTGGATTTTCTGAATTATTATATATCTTTGCAACTGAATGTTTTCTGGGATTTATATGGGTCTTCCTGGTATATAAATGGTGTTTGAGTGAACAAATAACAAAAAGAGTCATTTAATAAACAAAATCATCCAACATGTGATTGTGTTAGGGTGAGAAAAAAATCATTCCCTATTTCATTTAAGCCAATTAAAGGGATAATTAGGACTAGTTATACAATTAATTCACTAAACAACCAGAGCTGATTTGGGCCAGCCCCATCTTGCGTAAACTTGTCAAACTTTGGCTGTTTGTCTCAAGAAACAGATTTTAAGATCTATAGTGCTTGCTCAAAATGAATTCTGAAGACCTTGTTAAAAAATCATTAACATTTAACTGTCTATAAAAAATTATAAAATCTTATCGCAGTTTTGGGTCCACACCAATCCACAGACAGATTTATAATTTGAAAATTGAGATTTTTCAAAATTGTGGCTTTTCTGTCAAAAATTACACAAAGACCCCAGCATAAAATTATCCAGATAATCACAAAGACTACAGAGTAACTTCTAAGAAGCTGCAGGCCTCCTTTACCTTGGCCCAAGTCAAGTGTTCATGATTTCAACCATAGCAGGCACTGCGTAAGAAAATAGGATTCGTAACAACCTAGAAGCCATCACTTACTAAAAACAACACTGATGTTCATTTGAACATTGCCAAACCTTCTGGATAACTATCCATATTTCTGAAAGAATGTGCGATGGAGAGTGTGTTAAAAATGGAATTTTTGAAAATGTGGCTATCATTAAGTTTGGGAGAAATCAAACTTTGCATTCTACAATAATCCCATACCAGATGTCAAGTGTGGAAGGGATAGTGTATAGTTTGGGGATGGTTGTTGCCTCAGGATCTGAAAATTTTGCCATCATTGACAAAGTGTGACTTGTGCTTGCTATCAGAGATTTTATAAGAAAATATCAACCTATCTCTGTTGGCTAAAGCCGAAGCACTAGTGGTTGGGTAACAATACAGTCTCCCAACATACTACTATTTTGTAACTGCTCTATTGGAGAATCAATAAAGAAGAACAAATTCAATATCTGGAATGGCCAAGACAGACTTCAGACCTAAACTCCTCAGTCATGTTTGGGTAGGACTCAAAATGGGAAATACATCCTAGGATACCTTTGAATATTACTAAGTTAGTACAGTTTGTAGTGAGGGAATGAATCAGAATTTTTACACTGTAATGTGAACAATTGATCACCAATTATTGGAAGCATTTGCTTGCAGCTATTGCAGTTAAAAGTAGTGCAGTCCACTACTTAATCTGACTCTACTTTCTTATACTATCATTGCATGGTGGATGACTTTGTTTATGAAATAAATGAAACAAGCACCAATCTTTGGCATTATCTGTTTTCTCAGATTTCCTTATTAGATAAAAAGGACGCATAAGAATCTGTGTTAACACTGAGTGGCAGATACGCAAAATACCAGTAAATCCAAAATGGAGCAAGGAATCTTTTTCCACAGATATGTATACGTATGAGACGTTCACATGCATTGGTTATTATATGGACCAAATTATAAAAGTCATTCTTAACTGTTATTAGTTATTCCAAATAAATACAAGCTTGTAGTAGTTATTATCAAGAATACAGGGATCCAGGGGTGATGATAATATCAGTTCCAATTTCTGTCAGTTGACAGGAAAAACTTGCAAATCTGATTGTGAATTTATTTTTATATACATTAAATGGCTTTCCAGTAAAATGCAGTAATATACAAAATGTTAGTTTACTTGTTTGCATTCTTATAGATGGGTCTGCATTGATTAGTAATGAATTTCCTTAATTTCACCAGGTTTGATTGCATTCTGTAATGTGGTATTGATATAAATAGATCCTAAATTCTCTCCATGGTATACCTGGAT